GTGTGTGTGTGTGTGTGTGTGTGTGTGTGTGTGTGTGTGCGCGCGCGCGCACACACGCGCGTGTCTATCTGTATGTCTGACTGTGTGTCTGTGTGTGTAGGTGTGTGGGTGTGGGTGTGGGTATGTCTCTGTGTGTGCATGTATAGAGGGTTGAGGCCTTGTGGGCTTTTCTCCATCCAGTTTGTTATGTTCATTGATGTCATCCTTGTTCAGCTCACCTTTGGACAGTCATGTTGCCATTACAAGGAGTAAAGTCCCTTATGCTCTGGCTCTTACAATGTGTCTGTCTCCTCTTCTGCAATGTTCCCTGAGCCCTGGATGTGAGCATTTTACAGATGTATACACTGGGACTGGGTTCCACAATTCAGTATTTTGATTGGTTGTGGTTTTCTGAAGTGGTCTCTGTCTGTTGCAAAGAGACGTTTTGAAACTTAGCAAACTACTCAGCTAGTGACTCCACGGTTGTTGGAGGAGAATCTACAACTGTGGGTTAATTTACCAAATCAGCGTAAGTCCTAACAAAAATCTTTAAACATCTGTCCTTATACCTATAGATAAGTATAGCTTTTACCCCTCATCAAAGAAATTTCGAAACTTCTTTTCCGACAAAAGCAGTGCATACTTTCAAGTGTTTCCAGGGTGTATGTAGGCAGCCATTTCAAGTATCTTATAGTGGCTGAGTGTTTTGTTTTGTTTTTTTCTATTATAGTATAATTGCATAAGTTTCTCTAGTTCTTTCCTTCCTCCTAAGCCCTCTATGTAACCCTCTGATATCTTTCAAATTTTTGTCATTTTTAAATTGAATTACATGTGTATATATGTACATGCATACACATGTGTGTTCCTAAGCATAAATACAACCTCCCCAGTCTATATAATCTTACATATATGTTTTCAGGACTTACCATTCGGTACTAGATAAGCAATTGGTGTGCTAATCCCTCAGGAAGACTATTTCTTCCACTCAGCCTTCCTTAGTTGCCTGTTGTTCTTTATCCAGTTTGTCTTGTTTCATTTTGGGTTTTGTTTGTTTGTTTGTTTGTTTCTGTTTTGTGTAAGCACCCGCTTTACTTATAGGGCCAAGTTCACCTGATATGGCCTTAAGGAATGAAATCAGGTCAGATTGGAGGGGCTACAGCAGAGGCTGTAACAATTTTATTGGGAACAAATAGACTTTTTATACCTTTATCAGAAACAGGATAAAATGGCAATTACCATGATCAATACAGTTGTCCTGCCAGGATACAGTGAAGTTTGCAATCCATACGGGGTACACAAGATTAATGTCTAAAACCAATTGTCCTGTCAAGCTTCCATGCTTCTGTGACTACTAAGGGAACATACAGAGAAACACAAAGCAGCCCAAATGCTTCACTGCTTGAAGTGTATTGGTCACTAAGGTCCTGGAAGGTACATTGTGTCCCAGGAACTATGAACTCCAACCTGAAAAACCTGTGATGCATGCCTCTCCAGACAGCCAAGCTAAGTCAACTCCATGGTCCTTTGTAGTTTTGTTTTGTTTTTCCAGGACAGAGTCTCACTGTGTAGCTCTGACTGTCTTATAACTTGCTATCTAGACTAGGTTTGCCTCCAACTAACAGATACAAACCTGTCTGCTTCTGCCTCCCAAGTGCTGGGGTTAAAGATATGAACCACAATGTCCAGCTGTTTTTTTATTTACTTTTTTGAGAATTTCATACATGAGTTCAGTATTTACAACATTTACACCTAACCTTCCCCTCACTCTAATGCCTAACTGCCCTCCCTACTCCTTTCAAATTCATGGCCTTCCCCTTAATTATTGTTACACATATATGTATATAGAAACACAGCCAGTTGTATATATTTAATATTACTTGTATATATGTGTTCAGAACTGACCTTGGCATTGGATAACCTATCAAGAAGCTGTTTTGATTTGTATCCATATCATATTTAAAATAAAAATCTATTTCTTACATTTGAGAACTCCTGTTAAAAACTTATTTCATTGCTGCCTATGAAAGTTCTATCATATCATGCTGTTTAAGACAAAACGGCTTAAAATTTTTTCTTGGTTAAGGTGAAATACAAGTTTATAAACTACAAGTAAACTGCTAACTTGCAAATTCTACACACTGTTTTGCCATTGTGTTGTGAGGCAGCAACAAGTGGAATTAGAGAAATCCCGTAATGTTAGTAAATTCTACAGTAAAATATCAATGTTGTCATAGGTCAATTATTAAATATTGGTAATGTTGTTATGAAGAAGTTTCACTAAAGACACAGAAATATTTCTAGAAAGCAACTCATCATGGCCACAGACATTTTGCCATCGTGGTTTTGTTGAGATAGTGTCTTACTATGTTGCCAAAGCTGGCCTTGAACTCTTTAGAAACACAACCCCTCAAGTGACAATATTATGAATATAAACCATTATTCATGACTAAATAGTCTCTAAAATTAGTTTTATTGATTATTTGAAAATTTTGTGCAATGTATTTTGATATTTATACCCTACTCCTTTCCATAACTTTTCCCAGATCCAACCCTGATTCATACCCCCCTTTTTTATATAACTCACCAAGATCATCCTAGTCAACATTCCAGCATGGAGTGGGAAGGGGTTCATGAGCTCCTGACCTCTAACTGAGGAACTTTTACAGCTATTGTTGCCTTCCAGGTGTATGAAAGTCAGGATTCATTTAGGAAGGGTGGGTCTTTCACAGGAGCTTGGGAATGTCATCCCAGCTACTGAGTTTATGAGAACAGAGGGCTCTGTCATATCTGCTTGACACTGCTTTGCTCCTATTCTCCCTGACCTTTGGCTCCTACATTTTTCTGTCTCCTCTTGCAAAATGGTTCCTAAATTTGAAGGATGAATGATCTAGATGTCCCATTTGTTGCTGAGCACTCCACTGAAAGTTACTTTCTTCATTTTTGTTGGTGGTGAGTTTCCACATTAACCCCCATGTATTGTGCAAAGAAACTTTGATGAGGTCCGAGAGGGCACTAACCCACAGACATATAGACCTGAGCTTAGAAGGCAGTGGAGTAGGATAATTATGAAATGAGAGACTATGGACACCCCAATGGAGGGCCTCACCCTCCATGGGGGATTGAGGGGATAACGGGGGGGGGAGGTCACGGGAGGAGGGGAGGGAATGAGAGAGGGACCTGGAACTGACTTGTGAAGCAACCTCGTTTCTTATCTAAATTTAAACTGGAAAATAAAATATAAAAAAAAGATAAAAAAGTAATGGTAGATCCAACTTGGGGCCTGTGACCTCTTGAACCATGAGTTCTTGGCAAGATTTATAGCACCAGGTATATATTTCCTCCTGTGGGCCAGACCTTAAATTCAATCTGAAAGTGGTTGGTTACCACATTAACCTATGCTCCACTACTGAATCTATGGCCCTATCTTACCACATCAGTTGTTATCATACTCACAGATTTCACAACTGGGTAAGACTTTTCATATTGTTTTTTTCCTCCCAGTTGCCAAGCCTAAATAGTACCCATGGTACTGTGAAATCTGGCCTGTGGAGAGATTTTTCTGGTTACTGCCAACTTGATTTCTCCATATCCTGTGACCCATAAAGTTCTGATTGACTACCATGAATTGTAGCAAGACTTTTTTTGTTTATGGGGATTACTGGACACCCCAGATAAACTACTAAAGTAGATACCCGCATTTGATATTGGGTTTTCTATTTGTCAATCGATGGTTTCTTGGAGGAACATTATCCTATGTGTTGCATAACTTTAATCAAACTCTTTTATATGAAAAAACAAACACACACATGAAGCTTGTTAAAAAGTAGGTTTCTGCATGATTTCCATGCATCAATAGTGTTAGTTATACCTTCTGCAACCCTCTGCCTACTCTTCCACCCCCTCCCTACCTAAACCTCCCTCTGCATTTTCCCCTTCGTATCATCTTTGCTCTACTATTCTCCTCCCTTATATTATAACTTTCTTTACCAATAATCCCATCCTAGTTTCCTAAATACTCCATTAAACAGGCAATTATCGATATTTGACACTAATATTCACATATGAATGAGAACACTCGTCTAGGGCAATATCATTCTGAATATGAATGATCCCATGTTTTTTATTTATTTAAATTAGAAACAAGCTTGATTCACATGTCAATCCCAGCTCCCGCTACCTTCCCTCCTCCCCCAGCCCCTTGAGCTCCCCCAATACTCACTCTGTTCCGCAGGGAGGATGAGGCCCTCCAAGGGAATCTCCAGAGTATGTCATTTCATTCAGGACAGGGTCTATGCCCTCCCTCATGTGTCCAGGCTGAGAGAGCATCCCTCAATGTGGGATGGACACCCAAAGTCTATTTGTATGCCAGGGATAAATACTGATCTACTACCTAAAGTCCCATAGATTGTCTAGGCCACCTCACTGACATCCACATTCAGGGTGTCTGGAACAGTACTATTCTGTCCTCTCAGCCATTAGTCTGGGGTCCAAGAGCTCCCCCTTGTTCAGGTCAGTTGTCTCTGTGGGTTTCACTAGCCTGGTCTTGACCCCTTTGCTCATCACTCCTCCCTCTCTGTCACTGGGTTACTGTGTTTAGCTGTGGGTGTCTGTCTCTGCTTCTATCAGTTACTGGCTGAAGGTTCTAGGATGGCATATAAGGTAATCTTCAAACTCATTATCAGGGAGGTACATTTAAGGTAGTGTCTTCACTATTGCTTAGTTTGCCAGTTGGTGTCATCCTTGTTGATCTCTGGAAATCTAACTCTGCCAGATGTCTCCTCAAACCTGTAATGACACCCTCTATTATGGTATCCCATCTTGCCAGAGAATATTTAATATAAAATATATTTTTCCTTACTTAGCTCAAGAATGTCCAACATAAACTATAAGAATAAGTAGCTCATTCAATCATGTAAATACTTATGTTTATATAATAATTAAATTAATGCTTTAAAATTATCATCCTGGTTTTATATCTCAACTAATGTTTGACTATCTCACCAAGTGTTTTTTTCTTATAGAACGGGACCTTTTTGGAGCTGAACCTTTCGACCCATTTAACTGTGGAGCAGGGGACTTCCCTCCAGATATTCAATCCAAATTAGATGAAATGCAGGTGATTATTTTCATAGATTGGACCACTCATTCATTATTTCTTCATAATCTAGAACAAAGAAAATGTTTACAACCAAAACTCTATCTCTTGTTGTTTCTATAAAGGTTTATTTAAAGCAGTTAGACTAAAAATAATCATACTCTCTCCTAAAAATTATTACACATGCTGAGGATTGTCTATCTTTCTTTGAATGATTCAGTATACAATGGAAAGTAGATGCTTATTTTTTAATACAAAATTAAAGGATTCTGATTCTTTTAATCTAGAACTTAAAAGGCCATTGCTATGAAATTGTAAGATTTTTGTCTCAATGTTAATAGTTCTGAATTTCCAAACTGTAAAGGGGTTGAATGAGGGGAAGTCTTTGAAAAGAAGCATTGTAACTGTGGCTCATGAGTCCTGGACTACAGGGAAAGCACACACCACAGACAGCTTCTTTAGGGATGTGGTCAGTTGATTCTCTCCTCCTTTCTCTCTAAGTTTTTCTGAAAGTTGAAATAAATTGGTTTTTAAAGCTCCATAACTTTGGGCGGTAATGGCAAAACAGTCCTATTTAGATCAGAACGAGGATTTCTCTTTATATTTGCCCTTCACATTTGGATAAAATAGTAATGTCCTATTGTACATCACAAACTTCATAGTTGTTGGGATCCTGAAAGCACCAGTTGCTTGGAGCTGAGATGAGATGGTTGAGACACTAATGTGGGTGCTGGCATTGTTTCTGTTTGTCTTCCTGACTTGCCCACCCTCTCCTTGAGCTTCACTGCCCTAGCACACCCACCCCCAAATCAGAGGACAAACTGTGCTCTAAAGTTGGCAAACACATGCCTTTCCCTCAGACGATAATATAAATATCCTTCAATTTGGATAAACGACACGCTGCCTGCCTTCCTTTCTGATTATTATGTATGCATCTTTTTTGTTCTAGATTTAGTAATATGCCTGAATTTAAAAGGTTGAATTATTAAAACATGCTTTGATGTTTTCAAAGACTGTATTAAAATTTCCAAAACATAATCATTTATAATTCCCTTTTCCACAAAAAATATTCAGAGCCTTAAAATTTACTAAAATCACATCTTTTTAAAAAATTGAAAAAATTAGTAGTGACTGAACCATATAAATATATAGTTATATATTATATTTCCTAATTACATGCTTTTGTAGACTTAGGAAATACCATAACACTAACAAAGTTCACATTGATAAGTTTAATGAGTTAAGATGTATAGCATTTTGGGGTTAAAACAAAGATCACTCTATGGAACCTCTATTTATCTCAAAATGCATCGTGTCTGATGACAGTGATTTCTCACCTTTGTATATCAATTACTTTGAAAATTGCACTTAAATGTGACTAGCTAATGAGACATAATGCTGTGTCCTCTCTGAAATTAATTCCTTTCCTTTGTTGTCACCTGTGTTAATTTGAATGAACCTCTGTGACAATGCCTACAGAACATGAGCATGGGAGCTGGAAGAAGGAGCTGTTTTCAGGGTGATGCAGATCATGAAGACTTTCCTGGAAGTCTTTGTTTTTAATGCCAAACTCAAAACCTGAGGGTTAAAAGATTAAACCCTCAGACTTTTGTAGCAACCTAGTTTTAGAAAATACAGGAGTGATTTAGCAATGTGGTGATCAGGTAATATTAAACTGGGATGTGATGCTTTGGGTTTTGATATTTCTAATATTTTCTTAATTTTTTTATTCTCCTGCTTTCATATGGGTAGCGCCAGAGATGGTTGGTATCTCATTTGCATCTTTTAAAGCAATAGCAAACTTTTCTTAAATAAGATTTTTCTATTTGTATGTTTTGCTTAATAGCTATTCAAACAAGTTTCAGATGGATGTGAATGATTAGTGTGAGATTAGTGTTTAAAGAGATTTCATAACTCAGATCTTCAGATTAATTTTTCAAAGATTGTCAATATTTCATTGCTCACTTCATTATGTGTCTCTGTTAGTTCAAGACTTACTTGCAAGGCCACTTAACTACAGTTAGTAAAATGTTTTCTCCATTTAGAGTCTATAATGAATTTGTTATTAATCTTGCTAAACTAATTAATATACATATATCATATAGCTGCTGTATCTTTACATACTATATAAAATGCCAAGATAGTGTATTAAGCTGTGAACACTCTATGATGCTAGCTAAATAATTTTTTTCATTATTAAAGAGTATTAAAACTAAATTATTCCTAAGAGTTACAATACTAACTTTGAAATTCTAGGAATATCTTGTGCGTGTATGAGTTAAAGCAGAAATGTTAAGCCATATTTCATTTCAAGTAATTGGGCAATTTAATATATATTTGAAATCAACCATGTGGTTATTTGATCTGACACAATTTAAACAGCAAGGCAAAGGAATAGGATAATATCGATAGTCATGAACATATTCTATGAACTATAATAATGAAACATAGAATCGAGGGGATAATTCAGTTGGCAAAGTGCTAGCCATGCCAATGTGAGCACTCTCAACACTAGGGAAGCAAAGGCAGGCTTTTCCATAGGCTTATTGGCCAGTGTAGCCTAATTAGGAACTTGTAAGCCAGTGAAAAATCCTGTTTCACAGGGCATGGGAGACATTGTGGGAAAATGATACCTAAGTTTGATCTCTGGCCTCCATATATATGCACATGCATGTGTGTATACACCTACATTTGCACACACACATACAGCTGTGCACACAAGTGTGCAAACACACACATACATGAACACATACACACATGTACATAAAACAATGCAATATCTTTTAAAACAATGTCAAGTGTATAAACAAAGGTGTTATTCACAACTATCAAGTCATCTGTTTAAAAACTGGGTGGAGGGGCTATGTATGAATGAAATATAAATAGTACCTCCAGGCAAGTGTCTCAAAGAGGTTGGTGGCATTCCTAGGGAATGATGTCCAAATTGGTCTCTAGCTTCCATATTCATCCATGTACATGTGCACACAAACCTGTGCATACACATGCCCCTGCATGTATGTTTGTAATTGCAGGAACAGACAAACGGTTAGGAGACTAACCACTCACCACATCAATAACAAGCCCAGGTTCACAGAAAAAAATCACAGTTGGCTAACCCACTTGTGAATGTGCTCTGTGTAATCAAGGCAAACATACTAATAATTTAAAAAACCTGCAGGTGTCATTTTTGCTTAACAGGAAATTTAATTTTTTAGATAAACAATATTGAGTAAAAATATTGAGAAACAAGCAGTCTAAATCCTTAGTAGATCAAGCTTAATTTATAGCTTAGTATCTTTGGGGGGAGTAATTTGATATAATATATATACTTACATTGTCTATATTACATAAAACAGGAACATATAATTACAAATATGTTAAATTTTATGCATAAAATTATGCTGTTGGCCTTATTCATGCTTGTAAGGAAAACACTTCAGCAAAATGTTTCATATGAAAATATGATTAATGCTTTAGCTGAATTGGAGGTCAGCTTTGTCTATAAAAGTAAACTTCCAGGTCTTCACAGAGAAACCTTTGTCTTAAAAAAAAAACAAACAACAACAACAAAAACAACCAATGGGGAAAAAAAGGAAAGACAGACAGACCTTGATATGGAGGACATGACTCCTTTGTTATCAGCTTGGAAAATTTCAAGCCTAAGTTCAAACCTAAGTTCAAATACATAAAACTTTCTTGACAATTATTCATTTAACATTTAATAACTAAAATAACTAAAGCATGCAAGGAGATAAGGAGTCAAAGTTGAATGTGTGTCTGTATGTGATAGTTTCATCAACAATTACAAAAAAAGGCCATAAATATGAAATAGAGCTAAGAGGAGACATATGAGAGGTTTTAAAGGGAAAAAAAAGGGAAGGAGGAAATGATGTAATTGTAATTTCAAAAATAAAAAGAAATAATGAAAATAATTTGAAAAGAAAAGCCACAGCAGAACTGATGGACAGCTTTCAGATGCTGCAGTGGCCCCTGGTACTGCATTTTGTTTGGCATATAGCACTGCCCTTCCAAAAATATTTGACCAAGGGTATGGACTGAGGTAGCCAAAAGAAAATATGAGTATGATGACTTTATCAGGCTGCTTTGAACCCAGTAGAGAGGCTGGACAAACAACTCAGCAGTGAAGTGCATGAATTGCTCTTGCAGGGGACCTGAGTTCAATTTCCAGCACCCATGGGGAATGCCTCACAATTAACACACACACACACACACACACACACACACACACACACACAACTTTTAAAAAAACTAGTAAACAAGTGAGAGTAAAAATTGAATGTTTAAAATGTCTGCTACAAAAGAAATGGATAAATTGTAACTGTTCAATGCCTTAGATTTGCATTTTCTTCTGTTTCTTATACACATTGAACTTAAATACTTAAGACAGCAAAATGTCACTAAATATAACATCTGTGTAAAAATTTTATAAACCTAAATCTGCATTTATTGAAAACAAAGAATTTAATTTGTCTTTATAGTCTCTCTTACTTAGTAATATGTTTTTTCCCATTAGTGTTTATATTTTAACAATTTTATTCTGCTTTACAGGAGGGGTTCAAAATGGGACTAACTCTTGAAGGCACGGTATTTTGTCTCGACCCGTTAGACAGCAGGTGCTGACGTCAAGAATGAGTAATCCTGACTTATGCTTAATTTGTTTATATACATATACATCATTCATTAGTTTACAACAGTTATTATACTTGTGCCAATATATTTTTGAATATCTAAATGTTTTTAAATCAGTTAAAGTAAAAATCTCCTTACTTTCACTGTTGATTTATCTGTTATTTTAAGCAGAACTTAGTGTAATGTATATTGGACTTTTATGTTCTCTTCTGTGTTATGGGTGAATTTTATTGAAAGACAAGTTTTCTAAATATTTGCCTTGTCTGTGTTCTAAATAATTATCAATTGACATTTATGCTCATTCTCCAGGGCATTAGTTCATTATCTTTGTCCCAAAGCCATACCTTGATGTCTTTCAAATTTCTGAAAATAGAGACCAATGTCAAACTACACATATTCCATTTTGATACCAATAAACAGCCTACCAGTCATTGGATGGATGTCATTTTGTATACAAAATGTTCATCTCATTGTGAAAATCTAAAATTTAGCTATTATGCTACCAGCTTACTAAATTCTACCTGGTAAAAATAAGAATATAAGTCCAATAGTAATTATATAAAACATATTTAGAATATTAATAAATATGAAATAATAGCATCAGTCTTTTAAATTATATTCTAAAAATGTTTAATTTGTCTGAAAAGTAACAGTTGTGGGGAAAATGACTTCCCTGAAAAACTCAAAATTTTATTTCTAATGTGTTGTAATATACTAATATAACATTGGGCCAACATCTGCTCTCGTACTTTAAGAAATGGAAATTATGCTTTCTGTAAATGTAATGCCTACTGTCTATTTTACCATTATTCCTCAGATATTCTGTGATGTAGTATTTCTCTTACCAACCGTATGTCTCAATGCCACATTAGTTTTGATACTTTAAAATTTCTGAGAGGTGTTCTATTTAAATTTAAGAATATTTAACAATTTTAATTTTCATTTGTTCTGTTAAAGTCAGAATCTACTTTTCACAAAATTTCTCTTCAGTTTCACCTTGAACATGAGCAATAAAAATCTCTAGTACTCATTCTGATATGCTGATGAACCCTGACCTTTGAAAACATATGCTTCCAATATATTTGCCCATGGTGTAGAATACTAACAGTCATAGTGCAGAAAAAAAAGGTATGGTCACATTTGTAATGTGATTTATCACAATATAAGAAAATAAAGTAATAAAAGTCTGGGCTTAGTTGTGGGAAATTTATCAACACTAAATAGATTTTTACTCATGGAGTTTTATGCAGGTGTTAAGAGTACTTTTCATTAGGAACAGAAATCAAATGTGCTTATTATATTTGTACCATCATGCTGTCTGGTATAGATGAGCCTTTCTGTTTATGTTCTGTTATACCTGCTAAGTTAAACCCTAATTAGTGGGTAGAATGTGTTTCATCAGGAAGTCTTTACTGTTCTATTTGTCAGATAGTATTTTGGAATTTGTATAATGAGGATGTTTAGAAGCCATCTAATTGGCTTTTTTTTAACAGATAGAGTTTGTATTTTTATTGTACTTTAAAAAGCTTTATGTACTGGGTATATATTTAGCAAACATTTATTATCAATTGTAACATGATAGAACACTAAATTGATATTTGCACATTTGAGATATATTACTTACCAAGTTTTAATGATGATTGGTTCTGCTACTGGCATGATCAAATAGTACATAATTGGACATTAATATGAACATTTACTTCTCCAGTGAATTTTTATGAAGACATGATTGGAAATTGTATTTCTATGTAAACTCAATGATATGTTTGATTTTACTGAGAATAAAAGATTTTAAATAAATTAAACTATGATATATTCATTTTATTATCTATGAATACATCCTAAAGCTACATATTTAAGTTTTGTATTCATAAGTTGGAGCTGGAGAGAGAGAGAGAGTTTAGCTTTAGACCTATTTTTCTCATCCCACACATGTTTCAGTTTTATAAATAAATATCACTCAGTTATACAAATATGGACTTGTTGCTGGTGATGGCAAAGGTAATGATTTCGTTTCTGTTGCCAGAAGCATCTGATGCAATAATTAACTGTATTATGTAAATATCACTATTCAAAGCTGAATGTTCCTTTAAAGTGTCTTCTCAGTGGACTTGATAACAGGACTGTTGAACTGTACTGTCAGGAAGAATTTTGATCCTCTTTCAACATGATGCTAAATATTTGAAGACACATGGGTCTCATATATACTGCCTTTGCATACTGAATTATGTACCAATTCACTCAACAAAATGTATTTATCATCACTCTATCTTACCTACATATGCAATGTAGGTGGGGAAATTTTCAGGAAATTTGCTAATGTAGTATTAATTTGGAAGAATTCTTCATTTCAAATAAAAGTAAAAGAAATATATGGGTTAATGAATGAAAAACAATGTATATGTCAAAAAATCACGTGAGCCAATCACTTAACTCGGAGTATGTACATTTGAGTATGTTAAGCATGAGTATCTTTCACTGGGTACTGGTATCAGATATCTTATGAGAGGCTTAACAGGATGAAAAATAAAGATTGCTTTCATTTATATTTAGTTCTTGCAAATTATACTTGATCTTTATTTTAAAGATGAAAAGTTGGATGGGCCTGAAAATGGCTCTTGAGTAAAGGTGTCTGCCACCTACCTTAATGACCTGAGTTAGATATCTCAGTGGAAGTGGGAACTGACTCTTCTATGCTATGCTCTGACACATGCTGTGTACATGTGTGCCTACCCCTAGCACACAGACGGATACAAACAAAAAATATAAAATTAATTGTTGAATTATGAAAAAGCTTTGATCATGTAATTCATGCTAAGGTAGATATTTTGACAGTTTTTATTTCTAACTGCTGCTATGTTTTACTTTTTGTTATTTCCATAACTGAAAAATTGGCTGTTAATAGTTTTCTGTGCTAGTATTTCCATCTATAATTCCAACTTCAATATTTACAAATGATTTTGGATTTCAGCCTCTGTTAAATTGCTTGTAGGGTCTTGGACTGAATTTTACATTTTGACAACTAAATCTGAGATTCCACCTAAGCTACACCCTAAGCAAACAGCTAAGGAACTACTGATGTGATCATGGGTGTCTCTGTTCACCTCCCCTCTCATGTGTTCTGTGAGACATGTCTTCTTCCTGGATAACTCAAGACAAATCTCTGAAGCATTTGCTCTTGAGTCCCCATAAAATGTGCTGAACAGGATACAAAACATAATTCTTAATCATGAACAATTTTTTGATATTATGGTGTTACATAGTCACCATCATACCTTGGTTCTGAAATTCTATCTACGAAATCACTTTAAATTCATCCAAAGTGAAATCTTCTACTTAGGCAAAGACACTAATTCCTAAATTCCTTGGGTATTACTTTAACTGTAGGCTGTTGCCTTTCTTTTTCTACGTTATTTTTAACATTGATTTTTATTTATATTTCTTTTATTTTTGAGATTATACTATGATTTTTATTATTCCCGACTTCCCTTACCTCTTTCCAAACCCTTCCATATACTCTGCTATCTTTCAAATTCATGGCCTCATATTTTCATTAATTGTTACACACATGTATGTATATACATATACTCCTAAGTACACCCTGCTCTGTCTGTATAATGTTGTGTGCATGTTTTAAGGGATGGCCATTTGGTATTGGATGAACAATTGATTTGTTCTTCCCTGGGGAAGACTATTTCTGCTGCTCTCAGGATTCTTTAGTTGCCAGTAGTTCTTCGAGTAAGCAACACTTTTCAGATAACAGTTAATAATTATATAGATGATCCACTAAATATGAATGGAGGAAGGAAGGTTGCCTTGCCATTTCTGTAACTTCTTTGCTGCTGAGCACAGTAGTTCATCCATTATGATTTTTTAATTTTTGCTAATGGTGTAAACTCCAATTTCTTCTGCACACTTAGGAGAAATAATTTCATGTCTTAATAAATACTAGGAGAAAATAACCATTCGTATCCTCCAACAAGAACTTTATAACATCACTTTAAACTTTTCCCCTCAGGAGACAAGGTTTTTCTGGCTGGCCTGGATATCATTCTGTAGATCAGGCTGGCCTTGAACTCACAGAGATATACTTGCCTCTGACTCCCCAGTGCTGGGATTAAAAACATGCACCACCACTCCTGGCCATCACTTTAACTTTGACTTCATGGATAATTTGTAAATTAAGCACTTCATAGTTGTCTAAAAGCATCTAACAATTATCATGGAATTACAGGTCAAAGAATCCTGACCCAGTAGAGAGAAGAAAACAAAAGGATGGTTCTTTATCTTAAGAGTTTCTGAATACTAAATGATGAAAGTTACATAACTATCCATAATTCCTGTATTCAAAGAAATTTTATTTGTTGAGCCTATATATCAAATATTGATAATTTAAAACTCAAAATTTAACTACACTTGAATTTTGTATTGTGGGCACACATTTTTTCATTGGATGTAACTGTTTTTAAATTATCTTCCCTTAATGGTTCACTATTCTCTTCAGAAGCAATTTCATGAGAACAAGCTGGGGACCTTCCAGTTGACTCCACCCTCCCCTCAGTCTGGAAAGGCTTTTATGTTCTAGTCTGTTCCAAAGGTCACTTGTTCCAGTTGAAATTGTTGTCCGGATGGCCTGGAAGTAATCCAGGTTCTGGTTCTTTCTTGCAAATAAAGCAGAGACAGATGTTTGTCACTTGGCTACATTTCGGAAGGAAAAAAAAAAGAAAGAAAGGACTGTTATGGCTGAATCTACTAATAGCTGAAAGCACGTAGTTCTGGGACATAACCAGTACTGTTGCTGTTTTCCACTTATTTTACTTTTCATGCACTCTGGAAAACAGTTGTTTGCTATCAATGTCTAAGTAATTAAACAGTTATTGTATACTATGTCAGACTGTAGAAATTTTAGCAAATATTCAGAATTTGAATTCCCAAGTCTATATCCTCCACACACACTCCATTTACTATTCAGATCACCATCTATTTATTTTTACTGGCTGCTTTAATGGAAGATAAATTGAATTTTACTAGACAGTGGCAGCACATAGGATAGGAGGTGACAGGTATTGAAGGGCTAGTCATAAATCTTCTGAGATGTCAGCTTACACCTAACAACATGACTGCATAAATAGCTGACCCATTTCATTTTCTGGACAAGTTGGATCATTTTGGGGCCAGGGAAATACTAGGAATGATATAATCATAGGAAAGGATGTTTCTACAGTGATTACTCCTTAGTTTCCCTGTTTCATATAATGCCCGCAGATTTTTTTCTTGTATGAAAAATTATTGAAAAAGGGAATACATGAAAATAATCTGGCCATGATTTCATGATTTCTACCAATTTAAAAAATACTGATGCCATCCTCAGCATCATTGGAGTTTTAAATTTTCTGAAACACCTTTAGGGATACATGGAGTTAAACTTTGAAACTGTGCAATTCTACTTAGGGCTTAATGTGAGCTTTGACCTTAGGACATGATTACATGATATCATGTAATAGATTATGTTTATTTGTTTATTTCATGATCTCATATAGTGGATTACACTTCTTTAAATTCATAACTGTTAGCTATTTGGGGCACAAAGAAGTAGAACATCCCCTTAAATACTAGTGATTAAGAAAAGAATGTTGGAAAAGATTTGTGTTTCCTATGTTTGATTTAGTCTTTTTGAAAACATCAGAGTGTTGTCACTCCTCAGTAAATAAAGTAGAAAGTAAAGAAAAAAATCACAATTCTAAGTTTGTTTGTTTCCCATTTGTCTATTTTCATGGATGAGCTCAGAATCAGACTTCAGAATACCATAACACTGGAAAGCACAGCCTGGGTTTTTCTTCACAAGCATTCATGGCTTGCTATATTTTCAGGGACTGACGGTGAATGGTATGTGTACCAATGAAACTTAAAGACTTGAATTGAATTGAATATTAGCCATTGAAAACAAAATGATAAAACACGTAAGACAAGGCAACAAGGGAATATCAAAACTGAAATCTTGACATGAATAGAAATTTACAGATTCTGAGTTTGTTCCAAGTGTGGATTTTCTACAAGTCTCCCTGTGTATGAGAGGTTTCACAAAAGTGATTGTGACTGTGGGTGTGACTGGATGTTAGAGGTCTCTCTTAAAATGGGTTCAAGTAAAATGTGATTTGGGTAAGTCGAGTTTCATACTCTCTGGAGTAGCTCTTTTACCAATGTTTTTCTTGCTTCTTTTACCTACAATGCAATGAAAATGAAGAGAAGATAAATCTCCCAGCATGTCTGTCTGCTTTCCCAAAGATTGACTGTGCTGTGCACATTTCCCATCGTTGGCCCTTCCTTAGCCTTAATCACAGAGCTGAAGCTACAGACAACAGCTGGTCCTGGAACCCTCAAGGGGCTCAGATATTCATTCTGTTACTCAGATTGGTCCACTCTACAAATCTTTAGAAAATAGTTTCCAAAGTAACAAAAGAAGTTTAAACACAGTATTCTTTGCAAATGTTTACTTTTGTTTTTATAAAAGCAGCATTTAAAAATGTCCGTCTGATCAAGTAATATTAATTGAACAGTTTCTAGACAGAAAATAAAGTCAGTGAGACCATGGAAAGCCTATGAGTCATATGACCTAGTTTAGTTTATTTAGAACACACACATGCTCCAAAAATTTGGGTTTGCATCAAAACCAGATTGCTTCCCGTACTGTTCCCCAACTAAAAATTAGAAGGTCGAAGGAAAATTGGACAAATCTCAAAAATAAAAGCCCTTGCATGAAAACTGTATAACAACAAGCAAAATGAAAATAAATGGAACAACAAAA